GGGACAAGGATGTGCAGGAGGGGCCCCTCACCCATTGGAAGTGGCCAACGAGGACACTGGTGGCTTTCTGTAGAGATTCACAGTGTTTTAAAGGAACATCATGGGGGTCCAAAGAATACATTTCCAGAAAAGAGAGTTTTGCTAGGAAGGAATTCATGAATTTTTGTTTTTAAAAAAATCAGCTCATCATTCCAGTGCACTAATGAAATGATTGGCACCACCTTGACCTGAGCTAGCCTCACATTGACCTGTAGTATAAGATATTCAATTTCGGAATATCATTGGTAACTTCTTCCATCACTCCTAAATTTTTAGAAATATATAACCAGGTGGTTTAGTCGGTTCACTATGTCAATTTTTATAAAGTCCTATCTTTTATTATTCTGAAGATTCACTTTGCACTTGAAAGAGACCAAAGGAGTCCCCACTGTACTGGGGAGCTCTTTTGGAGCTACTCACAGCAAGTTCCCAACAGCTCCTCTCTGAAAATAACAGGTGGATTCACATCATTCTCTTTGGAAACCCCTTGATTAAGCTTTGAAGAAGTGATTCATGCTTCTATTTTCTTTCTTTCTTTCTTTTTAACAAAATATCCAAACATATTTTCACTTTTAAGTTGGGGGACGGAGTATTTTCCCGTATTCGCATCCTCCATTTGATATTTATTTAGTCTTCCTACATGTCTTTACTTAGTTAATACCAGGAGAGATAAATATGGTGGCGCCTTTGCAGCCAAGCTTCAGTACATTAATATAAATTGTACACTAATTCCCCCAAAGCATATATATGTTGTAAACCTGAAGACTTTTCTCACAGCTGCTTATTGCTAAACAGTGCCTTGTCCAGAAGGGGACAATCTGTGTCTCTAATTGCTGTCACTGAAGCCGAGATTCATTATGTGACTTTCCCATTAAAATGTGAGCATTAATTTGTATAATGAAATATCACCCACTGCAGTGTTCATTAGCCATGCCCTACTGTATACGGCACATTGTTAGCTACCTAGAAACTGTAGTTAATTTCACTAATGGATATTTCCCTACTTAGTGTTTGGTAGGAAATTTATACTGTAACATTACCTCTTAAACTTTTAAGGAAATTTAAATTCAATCAATTATTTTCTACAAAAGTTTGGGATGTCATTAAGGCAGGAAGAGCAAGGATGAGGGACTGTGGAGGAACAAAATGGGCTTTCAGTTTGTCTTAGAAATAGAAAAACAGTGGAGCTTGGATTCAAAACAAAAAAGAAAAAAAAATCTTCTTTTTGGAGATTTTTTTTTAAAAAAAAACCATTGCTCATGTGGGTGGGTGTTCCCACACTGAAGACAGTACCACATCCTCTCTTTGGGGGGAAAGGAGATGGGAAGAGCTTCCGTTTTAGCAAACTCATTTTTGGAAATGTATTCAGTGTGCTTTCATATTTGTTCAAGGTGTTATAACAGCCTGGTTACCGTATGGAGATGAAGAAATATGGAGGCATCAGAAGGCAGGTACATATACCCCAGACAGAAGGCACCTGGATGAGGTTAGTGAAAATTTCCATTTCCACCCACATTTTTGTGCCCGTCAGTGCTTGGAAAGCTTTTGGAGGGGAGAGGCAGCTTCTAGGATGGCACAAGAAACTGATCTTCTCCATGCCACAGGGAGAAATTCCACCCGGCCATCCATCCCAGGGGTCAGGGTATCTGCACACACTACCCTGGCCGTTCCCCTGCCTCGCCACCTCCCTAAGCTCATTGTGCTAGTGGGGAAACTGAGGCACGCGAGGTCAAGGAGTCCTGGCCTCGGGCCAGTCTGAGTTAGGGGTAAAGGAGAAGCCGGGGTGCACAGTACTTCCCTTTTAAGTCACCTGGAGGCTGCGTCAACACAACTTGTGAGTATAAGTCACTTCCTTCTCTCCTGCTGGTTATGGTGTGGACACACGCTGTTAAAGAAATGTTGCATTAATTCCCTAAAGCAAGCAGGAAATTCACCCAGAAAAGTTAACAACATCAATACGGTGCAGGGGTCACGAGAATGGCACTCTGAGTGACAACCAGATTGCAACCTGTAATACAGAACTGGACAATGCTGGGTAGGTAACTTCCTGTCTCTGAGGCTAGGTGTCCTCCCTTGCAATGGTGCAGGGGATGGAATTGAGGTCATCGTGAAGTTCTGTAAGGATTAGGGGCAAACTGATAGGCAGAGCCCAGCTCAGCGCCTGCACCTAGGAGTGCAGGGAAAGAGGAGGCTGTGGCTGATGATTGCCCCTGCTGCCCTGTCCTCATGGGCTGAATTGTTCTGCATTCAGCCAGCCAGTTTCCTCTTGCTATGTAGCTCTCCCCAACTCCCACTGTGGGTACAGCCCCTCCAGGGCTTCAGGGGAGAAATCTCTCACTTCCACCACTCTCTTTGGTCCCATATAGAAGGGAAATCCCATGCTTGGTGGCAGGAAAGCCAGCAAGGCCAGGAAGACATCTCCCTGTGTCCCACTCAGCCAGCACCCTGCTGCGACATCACCCAGGCAGCCCCTGGGGAATGGGCAGTGCCAGGCATGCCTTTCAGCCCCAGGCCAAGCCCCCGACCGTGGCTGATACCCCAGGAAAACCACCCTGTGCGGTTCCATTCTCATAAAGAGGTTCCCAAGTCAGGGCTAGACCAGTGTGTGCAGCACATCAAAACCAGATTAATAAGCCACCCGCATAATTTGAGAGGGGGGAAAAAAGTAATGAGATTTATTTTTAATTAGATGCTGAACTTTAGGGCCTCTGAGTCATCATGAGTGAGGTTGCTTATTACATTTCTCTATAATGGTCATTCCTGAGACCACAGCATTCTCCTGGGAAACCCTCACACCAGTGGGTCACCTGAGTGGATCCAGCCTAGAGTATCTCAGGGGGTTTGGGGGGAAAACACATGCTCGAGTCTTCCAGGAACACCTGCCTGCCTCCTGACCACCTCCAGAATACCCCTAAGCATTCACCTCCCCGAGTTGGGGCCGGAGAAGGGGACACTGGGTAGTGCATTTGTGGGCAGGCAATAATGAGATAATTGGCTAACTTTGAGAGAGAGCTTGGGACAACGCTGTCTCGAGCTGCATATTTGGACTAAATGTTTGCCTCTGCATGCTTATGATAGTTAATTGTGTGTGTCCACCTGAGTGGGACCCCGGGGTAGCTGGATATTTGGATAAAGGTGATGCTGAGGATGTGTGTGAGGGTGTTTCTGAATGAGATTAACACCTGAACCAGTGAGTTGCCTCCCCAAGGTGCGTGGGCCTCCTCCAAACTGTTGATGGAAGGCCTGGATGGAACAGAAGGCTGAGGAAGAGGGAATGTGCCTGACTGTCTTTGAGCTGGGCATCAGTCTTCTGCATTTGACCCTGACTCAGTATGAAACTTACACCGCTGGCTCTCCTGGGCCCCCAGCCTGCCAACGGCACATCTTGAGACTTAGCCTCCACAATGGCATGAGCCAGTTTCTTATCAAAAATGTTACGTATAAACACACACAGTCATGTGCCGCTTCACCACAAAGACACATTCTGACAGATGTGTCACTAGGCAGTTTCATCCTTGTGCAAAACATCACAGAGTGAACTTGCACAAGCCTAGATGGTACAGGTCAATCACTTGACCTAGCCTTTCTATGTAGTCAAGCTATAGTACATACAAGGTGTATGGGGTTGCTGCCATCATGATATCACATACTACTTTACAGTAAATTTTTTTTGTAAGTAGGATTACATTCTAAAATAACAATAAAAATAAAGTATAGGAAATGCATAATCTAGTTACAGAGTAGCCTGTTACCATGATCAAAAATTATGTACTATACATAATTGGATATGCTATACATTTATGCAACTGGGAGTGCAGTAGGTTTTTTACACCAGCATCCCCACAAACACATAGGATTTGTGCTAGGGAGAGATGATGTTAGGAGGTGATAGGAGTTTCGGGCTCCATGATAATGTGTACCTTCCATCTGTCATAACTGAGTGTCATTCTGTGACATGGCTGCCCAATCTCCTGGGGGTTCTGATTCTCTGGACAACCCTGACACAGACTCCTTTGTACCCTGCACTGACTGCCTTTGAATTCGAATCACAGCTCTTGGGCTCTAGAAGAGACATTGCCTGTGCCCAGTGATCTGGTCCTAATCAGCCCAGGGTAACGTTTACGAGAGAAGAGAGGGTTAGTTTCTCCTCAGCTGCCCAACTGAGGGGGAGCCTCTAGGATTAGTCAGGTGTTAGGGATTCCCAGGGTCCTGCAGGTGCCTACCCTATGCCCTTCACAGATCTGGCTGAAGCCAGGGGACAGCAGAAACATCCTAGCTACATGCAGGCTGTCCCTACCCCGCAGGTGTTCAGAGCAATCTGACTAGTGAATGTACTCAGCGCCTCTAATAAACAGGTGTTGGGAGAAGAAGAGCAGTAATTAAGTTAATGCAGTGGAGAAAAGAAAGGAAAATGGTTTTTATCAGTTGATGTCATGCGATCAAGACTTCTAATAAGGATGGAGTGTGACAGAAAAATACAGAGAATGGGACCTCTTATAGCCCAACCAATTAAAATGTATTTATTACAGGTTGGATTTTTTTAAATGCACTCCTCTGAGCCCACGGTAGGAAAACTTTAGAAGATGACATTTCCGAGAACGTGTATTTTTCTTCCTAGACTTCTGTCTGCTGGACATGTCACTTGGAAATTACGAAAACACAAGGAGCAGAGGGGAAGGCAGTTGGGGGCATCTCAACCAATGGAACCCCAGGAAATCATTTATTAACAAATAACTTGATTTTGATTTTTAATTACTTGTGTAATCTACACTTTTACATTGTCATAATGGATGTTTACTTCGGTGATTTATAACACGGAACACTTTCTGTTCTATTCAAATGCACAAGTGTAAGCATTTTCCAACTTCTTTGTTCTTAGATAAAAAGGAAATTGATCTTTATCTGGTTACCATTCTGCTTTTTAAACACGGCAAATGCTATTTCCGAGGGGGCTGGCGTTGGTGGAGATGTGAGGTTTCCATGGCTTCTTCCATTTTCTCCCTTATTCTAAGGAAGTTTCTGGAATACCCCTCCCGTCTTGCCTCTCTCAGCGTCTCCTAAGACAATTGGTCACAAACTTCAGAAGTTTGCGAGGCAGAGGTTTGGAAAAGGGATCTTCCTCCAGGTTTAAAATGGCAGAAAGCAATAGCCCAATATCCGTTGGCTTCCATCTGGGCTCAGCAGACTTCTGGCCACTTTGTTCCTAACATTCCCAGATGCACTCTGTGGAGTGTCTACTCTCCCCAGGCAGGTTGATGGGGATGGGGCACACAGAGTCGGAGATGCTCCTCTTTGAGAGGCACTGAGGAGCCTTTTGCTTTGCTGATCTACTCTCCCTTGCAAGGCCAGCCTCACCCAAGGTGACCTATCACCCACCCGACAAACCCAGCCCAGGGTGCTGAATTCATATTGGATAGAAGCATAAGATGCACCTGGCCTCCTTTCCACTGTCCTGCAGAAAGTGGGTATCCTGCAGACCTCATCCCTGTGCTGTGGTCTTTGGGTCTCAGAGCTACACAATTTAAGGAGCCCCCAGCTCCAACCTGGGTAGGAAAAGAAATAGACACTGGCATGAAAAACAAGGTGTCCGAGATGGCCCGCCTTGAGCCTGGCTCCTTTCACTAACTCCCTTACTGGTTCATTCATTCAGCAAATACTTCCTGAGTGCCTTCCGTGAGCCTGGTTCTGTCGTAGGTATTGAAGACATGGATGGACAAACAGACAAAAGCCTTTGCTCCCACGGAGCTCATACTCTAGTGCATGAACAGAGACAATAAAATGTACAAATGCATTGTTGGTCTGTCAGAAGAGACCTCTCCTTGAACTGTGGGGGGTGGGAGGTCTTCCATTCCATCCCCCACCCCACCCCTGGGGATCCAGCACTTCAGTCTGACTGTCATTGTGGTTTCTGATGGGTTCACGTGCTCCCTGCAAGATGAACCACATTCTCTCCTGCACTTGACCCAATGTCACCTTGCAGGGAGGGTGGGAGGAGGGCCACTCACTCACTCCAGGCTGGGTTCTGTCAATCAACCTTTCAAATAGACTCACTGGGCCCCTACTAGGTGTGAGGAGCTCTTGTAGGCCCCGGAGTTTACAGAAAGGATATCAATTAAAAAGGTGGACAAGACTGCCACCCTCATAAATCGTGGGTTTTGCTGGATGGGAGACCAACAGCGCATTAGGAAACGAAAATTAAACCAAGCAAGATCAGTTCAGAAATGTATTCATTTACGAAGAAAAATATAAGGCAGGGTGTGTGAGGGATATTTTAGACAGGGAAGTCAGGGATGGTGTCTTTGAATGGCTCACAGAGAAGCGAAGCCCCCAGAGACCACACGGAGGAACAACGTTCCATGTAGAAACTGGTGGTACAAAGAACCTATAGCAGGGACAAGCATTCTGCACTAGAGGAACAGGAAGAGGGTGTCTCAGAAAGAGGATGAGGATGGAAAACGGTCCAGGATGGGGGGCAGATCACAGGGGACTTCTGGGAGAGAAGCGGGACCTAGTACAGACTTTTAAGACATCCCTGTGGGGGCCTGGGATGACGCTATGAGACGCATGCTCCAGGACAGGCAGGGGCAGGGACGAGGCTATCCATGAGAAGGCCGTCTGTGGCACACTGTCACCTGTCCCCAGAGCTCCTCTTGGTGGCCAGGAGATTTGTGGGCCCCAGGTGGGGTTCCATGGGAGGGGGCTCTTCGTCTTTAACCACACGATGCAGACAAGGCCCGAATGTATTTGATATCCCTGCACAACCCTGAGCATTATTGATTCCTTGGGAAATAGACCACAATTATTTTTGAAAATAGATGGCATATTTGTCTATCCTCTGAAGCAGCTCATACTCCAATAGATAAAGTGTCAGGAGAAAAATCAAAGAAAATGGAGGTGTCCATATCTCAGATAGATTTTTTTTTTTTTAATATTGGCCACGTACAAACAACTAGCAGAAAAAGCTAAAAAGGATAACAGCTGAGGGACCAGGAAGAAAGCAGAAGAGAAGTCCCCACGGCAGGGGGCCAGTAGGATGCCGAAACAAGAGAAGTGGCCAGAGCAGTCTGGTCACCGTTTCCCTCTGCTTGGTTAAGAGCGTCTTGATGTTTTCTTTAAGGAGACAGAGCTACCTCCACTTCATGTAGCCTGAGAAGACTGACACTCTCTCTCTGTCTACCCCAACTACGGCCTTATAACCAGATTGGGCCAAAGGAGCTCCTTAATCCCTTCTGAACTTAAGAGAGGCAAGCTGGGTGGGTCCCACCACTTCCACCCCAAAGACTCCTGGTTCAAATATGGGTGTCAGGAGGCTCTACTTCAAAGAACACCATCAGCTCAGACAGAACATCAATAGCCCAGACTGGGAATGCATGGGGGGGGGGGTGTCATTTGGTGGGATGATCGTTAAGCACCAAATCAGGAAATTCAGGTCATCACTGACCCACCCAGTGCCACGCAGCCAGGCCAGTTGAGGACGTTCCAGGGTTAGTGACTGACACAGTTGTGGACCTGGGCCAGAAACACGGCCAGGCGAGGATGGGGGGTGGTTACACCTCCTCCTCGGCACTGTGCCCCCAGCTGCGCCCAGATCTCTCACCTGTGTGTATCCTCAGGTGGACCTTAAGGTGGTGGGATGTCCGGAAAGTTTTCCCACAGTACGGACAGTCCTTCATGGCCGAGCCCAGGCTCCTGTCGCGAAGCAGCGCCGGTTGCTGGACGCCGGCGGATCTCCCAGCCTCCTCGCCAATGTCTGCAGTGGAGGAGAAGGATTCTCACATCACTTCAGCACATGTCAGAAGTTGTTCACACCAAAACTGCTAACACCACACAAAGTTAAACATGTCAATACTACACCTGTCTATTTCATTCTTTAAATCTGACAGAATGCTGACAATTCATGTATTTTCTTGTTATTCTCTTAAATTATTTCATCTTTCCTATCATCATTTTAAGCAGCATATGGTACCTTTATATTGAACTGAATTAAACAAGAGAAGAAACAGCTGTGTCAGCAGCTGGTTTGATTTCTTCTTTTGCTTAGTTCCTATTAAATATTTTTTTTCCAAAAGTTTAAAAATGTGGGTGTTTGTGGAATCTGATTAATTTATAATATGGGCTAGCTGGAGAGTTCACTATAGGATCGAAATCAGATTTGCATTATAGCTGGCAACCAATAAAAAAAGAAAGAAAGAAAGAGAGAAAGAAAGAGAGAAAGAAAGAAAGGAAGAAAGAAAGAAAGAAAGAAAGAAAGAAAGAAAGAAAGAAAGAAAGAAAGAAAGAAAGAAAGAAAGAAAGGGTCTCAGCTGATTCCCTAAGACATGCAGACATACAGCTATTTTGGGACAGGAAAGAAAATTATCCAAAACCGATCATTTCTTCCTTGTAGAGTCTTGTATCCATTGCTGGCTGGTGTAATCGCATGAAAGGGAGAAGAAAAAGTATGGAAATGCGGTTCCACAATTAGCCCATGATAAACATATAGTGGCATATTCGAAGTCATGTGCAGAAACTCAGCTGCAAAACTCCCATAAACTTAGAGCCCTGCATTTAAATCTCCATGCAGTGACTTGAGAAGTTCCTCTGTAAAGTATCAATACAAATTTTCCTTCCTGCTGTTATTTGTTATGTAACCCAAACCATTAGAAAATGGAATAAAATTTACATACGGCTGCCTTCTGCACAGAAATGATGGGACATAATAGTAAATAAAACTGTGAAAATATCTGGTGGTTGGAGGATATGTTACTGCAGTACCCAAGGCCTCACATCACACTGCCGCCCAGGCGAAATCCGGGGAGCAGGACCGGAGTTTGCAATCTGCTCCCTGAGGAGGGGAGGCAAGGGAGCCCTCTCTGGACTCCTTCCTGATTCATGGGTCTCCCCACAGAGCTGGAAGCTGAAGGCCTGGCCCAGAATCCAAGCCCCGGGGGCTCACAGGGTCCTTGCCGCAGATTCTGGTCCACCCTCTAGGCCTTGTGGTAAATCCCACTATGGGAACAAGGGGACCTTCTGAGATAATGAGCAGATCTGTGAGTTCTGCAGAGATGAGAATAAATAAAATTTGTACCTTCCAAGCAATGGAAAATGCAAATGGCTTCTATTCAGCAACATCCATTCCTGGTGTTCTCTGCTAACGGTCGGAAGGGACAGACTTATAGACCATGAACAAGATGAAGGCAAATGTGCTTTATTCTTATTTGAATGTTTGCTCCAAACAACTGTAGAAGAGCTTTGGCTTGGAGCACCCTTTGAATTTGGACCTTTGTGTGACCAGATAATCACCCTGGAAAAGTTCATTAAAACCCCACTTTTAATCCTAATTTTCCCAACTCTTCTAGCCATTTGGAAGAGGCATTTTTTTTCCCCACCATTTTGTACAAATGCAAAATGCATTTGGTGGACGAGGCTCATCCATGTCTACAACTCAAAGTCAGTCACCACAACTCAAAGTCAGTCACCACCCTACCAAGCGCTAGGTTAGTGGTCATCTAAATGAAAGCAGGCCGAGTCTCAGGGGCTGCTCTAGAGGTGGTTTATCCTCAGCCCAGAAGAGCAATAGACAGTTGTCAATCCCAAGTCAACCAACCAAGGTCTAAACTGGGGAAACACCACCTCCTCCTACCCATCTCCTCCTAGCCCAATGCACAGCTTGCTGCCTTTGTCTCCTGGCAGTACCCAGTTTTCCTTGTGCTGGGACCATGAGGTCAGCTTAAACAACCATGATCTTCATTAAAATTCTGCCCAAGTGCCACTCAAAACATAGTTCAGGTGCCCAATCAAAGTTCAGAGGCCAACCAGCTGTCGGTTTGAATTATTAACCGGACTTAAGTGTCCTGGATGTTGGCTTTAGGTAGAGGCAGGCAGGTGCAGACTTTTGAAGGTAAGTTCCTACAGGTCCTCCTGTCTTGTGACCGGCCCCTCTGCCCAGAAGCTTCCCCACCCCACCCCTGCCCTGTGAACAGCAGCAAGGTGGCAGCTATTGAATAAAAGCTGAAGGAGAGCCGGCGGAGGGAAGATTTCCCCTGGAGAGTTTGGTTAGTGCTTGTCCAGAGCACATTCTAGATAAATATGGAGACAAGACTGACGCGCTCCTCTGGAAGACTTTACAGAAGTTGGGGATGAGCTGCGCCTCGGTATCTGTCACTCTACGTGATGGCCTGTATCTGTTTCCCTTTTATCTTTCTATCTTGGGTATGTGTGGCCCAATAAAAAGAATAAATTTGTAAGATAAACAGCTTTCTTTGCAGATTTAAGAGTCTAATTTTCACTTTACACAGGAATGGCTTTTTTTCTGGGAGGGCCAGGAGGCCTATAGAGTTTACTCTTAGACTAATCCTCCTAGAAAAACAAACTCTACGCGGCGATGAAGGGGAAGGTGGGTGGTCCCAGGAAGTGTCCAGAGAGGCTGGAAGCCAAGTACAGTGAAGGCCGGGGAAGTTCTGGCCCAGCCGACTGCACATTCACAGGCCCTGTATATAAGTCCAATCTGGTGCCTGGGTGGGTGTGCGCTGGCCCAGCCCTGCCCAGAACCCAGAGAGCCCCATTCAGAAGGGAGGAGGCCCTGCTCCCAATGCTGTCTCTACCTGAGTGTAAAAGTCTGTCCCTTTGCAAACTGCAAGACCAACTTCCACGGCTTGGCCTGCCATACCACACAGTCACTGGCCCTGGGTGCCGCTCCAAGGAGCAGGTGGTAGAAAGGAAGAGGTATGAGAAAAAGTGCCTCTGTGATCCTTGGTCAGACCACCTGTGCGTTGGTCTGAGGTTTTTTTTTTTTTAATTTCCTTTTATCCAACTTGCAGTTTTTCTTTTCTCTTTTATCAGTCACTTTCTCTAAGTGTGTTGGGTAGACTACAGAGGACAGCTTTGAACTTACCATCTGATCTGAGAAAGGAGGAGCCGCTCTACCTAGCAGGGGGCCTTTGCTTAACACACCCTCCTCTTGGCTGTGCTCTGGGGTCTGCATGGTGGAGAAATGGCTGGGAAATAGCTCCTGAGGATGCCGTTTCCTTTCTTGACCCCACTGAATGCTCGGTATGGGTGCCACCCGTGACATTCCAGAGACACCCAGACTGCATTTGCCCTCTTCCCACAGTACCAGCCTAGGACCAGTGGGATGAAAAAGGGAAGCAACAACTCTGCCAGCTTTTCTCTGCACCTACCAGCAGAGACTTATTTATTTCCTATAAGAGAGGAGACAGATCCAAACCAGTTCAAGTTTTGTTTCACAGATACGTTATTTGGGAGTGAGGGGCCATCAGACAACAGACCTGACTAATTTCACCTTCTCAAGGTCAGAAACCATGCCTTCTGTATTTCCATTTTCTTGTTTTAATGAATCCTCCAAGTGAACTGCGAGTTTGCCTAGGTCAAGTTGACATTAAAGAGCATACCTTCCCTACGTCTTCCTGGGGGGCGGGGAACCCACAGCTGTGGGCTGAAGAAAGAGATGGGGGGGGGTGGAGGGAGATGGCCACGGACCTTCTTAGAACCGTCATCATCCAGTAGACCATAAACGGACAGTACTGGAAAGACACAGAGATGCTTGGAAAAACCAATAACATTTCAAAGTGGAAGTCTAGACACAAAAGTTAGAGTCCAGATACTGGAGTGATTGTTCAACGCCATCCCTTGCGACGGGCTATCTTGCTGTACGCAAACATGATTCGAATTTTACGGCTGCCTCATGATACACTCAACCTCATTAATATATGGTATGTTTAGAATTTGAAAACTTGGTTTATAAAATGCCTTTGTACCTTAAGGGCAGATTTCCCTGCAGATTATCTTTAAACATACTTCCTTGGTTTATTTAAAATAGGCTTGTTTGCTGACAAGGCTGTCCCAGGAGTTGGGTGGTGGAGTCCTTTCCTCCTGGATAGAGAAGCCTGCCTGTCCTTGGGCAAGTTTCTTCACCCTTCCCCTGGCCTTTAGTTCCTTTCTCACCCAGGGGCCTACAGCTCTGGCTTCCTGTAATCCTGGAAGAACCCAAGTCCACACCAGGCTGTCTCTGCCCACTGCCACGTAGTAACCTCACTCCAGAACCAGATAAGAAACTGCAGATGAGTCTTCCAGAGATGGAAAGAAACGACCATCAAAGGGACAATAAATACTCCTTGAATATTCCATGGACCCCTCCATTTCTCAACTTCCTCTGTGCTAAGTGGAGACCAGGTGACTCGTTCCACCAATGGATGAAAACAATGCAGAGGGTTTAGCAAGCCCGCACCTCTGCCTCTTTCTGCACAAGGATTGAGAGAGGGGAATCACCAGATGGGTGGGAGCCGACCAAATCAGACGTTGCATGAATGAGAAATAAATCTTGGCAAAGTTAAAGCACGGAGATTTAGAGGGCTGCTGTTGTGGGAGGTGGTCAGGAGCTGACTACGAGGAGTAGACCCACTGATGAGGGGTTCTGGGTTCTACCTAATCTCCCAGCTAGTCCTGTTTCACAGAATGAGAGACAGAGCCGAGACCCAAAGAAGCAACGTGAAACAAAAGAAAGACAGGTATTTTAAGTTGTGCCTGTTTTCTCAGTTCTTACTTCATCCTGCTGCTAGACAGCCTGATCCTTCACACTCCCAAGAGGATATTTTGGAAATATTTCGCTAAAACCAAAATGACAGTGGTGATGATGGTATGGATGGCGGTGATGGTGGTGCTGAAATCCACGCAGTGGATGGAGACTCACTCCAGCAACCTCACGAGGGAATGGCGCTCTCTGTACACGTGGGCGTTTATTCCTTCATTGCA